AAAAAAAAAAAAAAAAAAAAAAAAAAAAAAAATCGGTCAAAGTCAACAGAGGGGCAAATGAGTCATTTTGCCCTTCAATCTATTATAGGGGTCCAAGGATCCCTAATCAGAATACCTGCAAGAGAAGAGATTAGTGGGAGAGAAAAGATGAGAGGAGATAGAAGGAGCCGCCGCGAATTCTCGTTGGACCACCGCCGGAATCCACCTTCAGACGTGACCTTTACACAAAAACTCCCTGCTTGAAAAGATTGATAGGCTTGCGAGGTCGACACTCCATTAAGATCCGAGAGTTCGCAAGGTAGGTTCTTGTTCAATCTCTTTCAGATCGAAGTTCCTCCTTAACGATTCTATATCTAATGTTACCATATTTTCAAATAGGGAGATTGTTCTTCAAGATCTGTGAAGAAACTCGGCCGAAAAAAGTGATTGGAGTTAGAACCCCGAGGAGTCATCCAAGAACGGTCAAACATAAATGAACCTTTTTTTGACTCCCAAATCTCATTCTATGTTGAAGCAAAATTCAAGAAAAAAAAAATACCAGAATGTAGCTTGTAACATGATCTAAAACTTTGATGAAGGAATTAACGTGATTTTAGTTCATAATCAAAAGATATGAAAATGAGAAAACAAAAAAATCTAATCGAAAATCAATTCTGTGTTACGGATTGCAGAAAAGAGAAAATGTCGGCAAGGCACGTGTCAACCGGCGAGAGGGGAGGCGTGCGCGGCTGAGTGAGGGACACGTGTCAAGCAACAACTAGAGCTACGTGTCAGACGACAGCTGAAGAAACGCGGCTCCAGCAAGACGATGACGCCTGTCGTCTGCGATCCCTCCAAACCCGTGGATTGATCTGACCCGATCCACAACCTATCGGCCCAAACCAACTCGCTGAACTGGACCGTTGACCCGCGACTGCAAGATTTTCGCCGTGCGTGCCGCTCGCGAGTAGAAGTCTCTTCGGCGCGTGAGGGCGCATGTATGGCCCACTTTTATCCATTCGACTGGTTGCTCGATTGTCGTCCCGATTTCAATTTTAACCATGTTTTAATGTGAATAGGGACCTAATTGAGGAAAATCAGTATTTATAGACATCATACTTGCATAGAAACACTAGAAGAAGGGCATGCACGTGAGGGTGCATGTAAGGCCTACTTTTATCCGTTTGATTTCTGTTTGCCTGATTTTCATCCCAATTTCAATTCTAACCATGTTTTTATGTGAATAGGGACATAATTGAGGAAAATCAATATTTTTAGACACCCTACTTGCATAAAAAACGCTAGCAAAAGGACACGTGTCAACCAAGTAAGTCAACACACGGAATTTTAGGAAGAAATACTTGTAGGAATCGCTTGGTATGCATTCATGCTAGTTTAATTACCTTAGGTGAGTAGAATTTCCATGGCATGAGCTTAGATAATAAGATAAAGTATTTTGAGGAGTTTATCATGTTTTATATTTCTGCTTATTCATGCTGAAAGGAGGATGAGAAAATTATGAACTCTGCGTTCCGGGTGCTGATGAATGTTATCACCCCGCTGAGCATGTTTGCCTAGTTTGCATGAACTGTGTATGATATATCTAGCCGTTGATGTTTGCACACCAGGTTAATGTTTGTTGTTGCACATTAAGATAATGTTTATGAATCGTTATTACGATAAGCCTAGAGATTCATGATTAGAGTGATGAGTCACTGAGTTTAGACCTATCCCCTTCCCTAGGAGCCTAACAGATCACCACGACAAACGAAGTACATTAGGAGTGTTCTTAGGTTGCTAGTTGTGTGAACGGTATCTATAGCTTCGTGGGAGGACTAGGGATTCCTGATCAATACTCACTGCTCCTAGCTGTTCGCATGGGAAATATGTCCCCATGTCGTACAACCCATTAGCTGCATGGGAAAGGGTTGGGTCGCACCCCCCCCCCCCCCCCCCC